AGATTCACAAAGTGCTGCGCCTGCCACGAAATCTGCACATCGGAGATCCAAAATGAGCAAATTGCACGAGGCTTTCGCAAATTTTCCAATGCGTTTCAGAAATGCTGCGCCTGCCACGACATCATGCCTGCAGGTCATACGAAATGCTGCACTGGCCACGCAGAAGCATCCTCAAGTTCAAATTCCAAAAATGCGACCCCTCTCACGAATTCAGCCGTTTCACCTCAAAATGTCGCATCCATGGTGCGGATTCCCTGCGCCTGCCACGTGAAACGCAATCCTGCGAATGACACACGCCTGCCAACGTTTTTGCAACGTCCACAAAACACTGTGCCTGCCACGAAATTTGCAAAGTCTCCGATTCCTTGCACCTGCCACGTAAAATGACCTTTTCGAGGCTCCAATGTGTCGAATTCCTTGCGCCTGCCACGCAAAATGCACTTCATGTCCGAAAACGAGCACGGCACCTGCACGAGAGCTTTGTCCCGGAAGCACGAAAGGCGCGGCCACCACTTTATGCGAGACTGCGCAGTCGAAATGGACATGAGGAATTCAAAAAGTAACTTTTGTGCGAGCCGGCCCACGCAAAATGCCGCATCCACACGCGCGAACCCTGATCTAAACCCGCTTAACTCTTACCGTAAGAACCCCTTAGTGCGGAGCACTATTTGGGGAATGATCATTGTTGACTGACTGCTACCAGGGTAAGAACGGACAGACCCCATGACCACATGACCACACCGAAAGGACGGAGCGACGACCGCGGTCAGCGCGCGACGGTCAGCACCTCAGTGCTATCGAGGCTGTTGGATCCATCGGAGCCCCCCAAGACCAGCAGGAGTCCTGTCGCGCGGAAAGTCGGTGGACGTCCGGATGACCCCGGTCCTCCCGGTGTCCGACTCGATCGACCGAAAGACTCGACCGAAACATGTAAACAGCCCAGACACGACCTAGCTGGGACTGAAACGGCCAGGGGCGGGGCCATGAGGGCTCAATGGGGCGGCAGTCCTATGGAGTGTGGGCCCATGACCATGGTGGATTGGGCATGGATTGGGGGGCCATCACCACATAAAGAGTCGAGCATGTCTGACGTCGTGCAACGACACGAACCGACACGACGCGACACGAACGCAAGCATTCGCCATGCGAGGGCTGGGATGTGATCGTGTATCTTAAAATCATAAGGGCTGGTCGTTTCCGCTGCGTGTGAACTGATGCAAATGTCCATCTTTCCGAATACTAAGGTGGACGCCTCAAAAATATGGACACCTTTAAACATAACAACAAAGAACAACAACAACTTCTACGAACAAGAACATGTTCCTCCTGGCAATCACTCACTCAATGATTGTTGACATAAGTGTTATGAAGCTACCCAGTGTAATGAAGCTACCTTGTGGCCATGTTTTGGGCATATCGATGTGTTCCTCCTGGGCATCTGAAAGGGCCTTTCCTACCTCGGCAGGTCATATCTCTTCCCTTCACCACTGGTCCTTTAGACCCCGAAGGCTGCAGTAGGGCAGTGGCGCAAAAGTTGCGACGCGTGGACATGCGGGGGCCCGCGGAAAAGCTCATGGTCGTCCTGAAGGAAGGGCGGCTGCCGCTTGGAGCTGAAGAGGGTTAGCCCCTGCAACAAACACACACGCAGGAAATACATGCCCTAGTTTGGGAAAGCATTGACACTATATTTAAAAAGTGGGAAGAACACATGGTTGTTTTTCGCATGACATAGGTCCCTCCCAGGCTTTGGGGCATATAGGCACTAGCACTGGTTTATTGATGCACATGTAGTTTTCTTCTTCCTTAGTCATCTGAACCTCATATATATATATACCAAACATTGCAAACAGTACGATATACGATACACTTCGGTAGTGATATCGGGTCTGTTCAACCAACAGATTCTTCTCTACAACTCTGTGGCTTTGGAACTTGGAGTTTCCATGTGTGTTTTCTATTGTCTGTGATGATGGTCAAAACCTATGGAACAAAAGCTAGATCTTGTGAGTATGCATTGGATCTCTACCTGCTGCAAATGGATTATGGAGACACTCCAGAGGCATCCTACACCAAACGCACCGTGGCAGATTTCAGCCCAGCATTGAAGTGAGATCCTATATGTATGGAACATCCGCAATTTAAGTTAATATCCTATCAAGATCCGCACTTTAAATAGAACATCCATGAATATCCTATATTTAGATCAAGCCTTTTTTGTGGAAATCGAGCTTGCCAGCTCGATTTCACGCCTAGATCCGCATCGGTCCTCCGTGCCCTCCTCCAACCCACTAGGCACACGTGCCAAGCATCAAATCCAAGAGCTCCGTGCTTTCTAAATCGCTACAGCCATCTGAACCGCCAATGACCAAGAGACGATGATGGTCAATCAACGACGCCTTAGGAAGGACCCCAATGTCAAGTTCTGCGACTTTTTGTTGAAGCTCCATAGGTGTCAAGATAGGTCCGGCAAAGATTGATAGAATGTTGTCATCGGCTTTGAAGCGGGACATGCCGAATCCAGGCCACTAGGCCTACATGTGACGCCAAGATCCAAACGTGTGACCCGACCAGACGTGTCATTGATCCACACATGAAACATGCTCCAAACGCCGTGCGTTGACCCGACCGGACGTGTGCTGCTCAAAGGGCCGCGCAAGCGTTTCGCCGCGTGCCCATGCGAGGTCCCGGGGAGAAGACCATCCTGGCAGGATACATATGGAGGAGGCGAAGAGGAGGAAGGGATGGAGAAATATGGGAATTATCCAACTCCCATGCAAGACCGATCATGTTTTTGGATTGGTTCATTTTCTATCTACTCCCGGAGGGTTCTACAACTTCTACATCTGCAAAAATATAGCGAGAACCCAATTGACCTCTGTTTTGATCAGAAAGGGCCGTATATGCCATATTATTGGATAGTTGCTGATACTCCCAAAAGGAGTCCTTCAGGTTCTAGGTACAGATTCTTCACACGCCAAAGACCACATGCAGCTTCTTGAGGTTGCTTTCCATGAAACACACCTCACCATCAATCCTGGAAGGGGGTCAAGTACATTCAGACCTGTCAAAATACCTGACACTGATCGACTCAGTACCTCAAAAAAAAAGTTCCTGTTTCTTCGTGTGAACATGTCAAATACTCATCTATTTTCTGGCACCTGGCCCTTCCAATGTAGCTGGCCTCAAGCAAATACCCCATTTCAAATCAATATCAAATTCAAACCCAATTGTTTCCTTCTAGCACACCACTGCTCTCATGCACCAGTCGACCATTCCAAAGCTGTCCAGTTGTTCTTAAAAAACCAGCCGTGCAAAGACCAGTCCACTACAATGGGCAAAAAAAACATACCTTTCATCAACATGATTTGCTCTATAATACCTGCAAATACCTGTTATATATATATATATATCTTTGAGTGTTCTGATTGCAAGACCAAGGGGTCACGACCCCTTCCCAATCTCCAAGGCCGGACACCACTGGACCTCTCGGCTCCGGGCCTCTCCAAGTCGAGGACCTCGGTGGAGTCCAACTCGCTGGCATCGTCCGAGCCGCCGATGATCAGCAGCCTCTGGGCATCCAAGCGCACCGCCGCGCAGGCGTTGCCTAGCGATCGAAGAGCGAAGCTTTCCGGGCGGAATGGTCGGAAGCCTTTTTTTGTTCGGAGCTTCGGTTTCGAAAGAAAAGCGGCAGCGAAGAAGCGGAGCGTTTTCCGGAAGAGATGTGGTGCAAACACGTGCATATATGGATGTTACATGCATCTTCCCACCGAGGCTTATGGACCCGAACCGGTCCTGCTATCATGTGGGTGTAAGGTTCCATTTCACCCTGGTTGTGAGGGTCATTTCACCCTACAGTAGCGATCTGAGGGTCCTTTCTGAGCCTTTGAGCATGAGAAAAACCATCTCATTGGAGACTCTGGAAACCCTCCCTCCCTCGCCTCCCTCCCTCTCTGACTCTTCTCATTCCCTCCACGGTGCGTCGGGTACCCATCTTCGGGCCCAAGACCACCTTGAGCGTCACAGGGTCCACGAGTTCAGTGGAATCCAAACTCCTCCGGGAAGCTGGCGCATTGGGGTTGGGCTGAAGTCGGAGCGGCTGTATTACTGGTCTCCTCAGCCGGATGTGCTTCAACCTGGCCAGTGGACCAATCTGTTTGGAGTTCGGACGATGGATGAATATGGTAAGTGACTTGGTCACTGGGGGAAGCGAATGTGCAAAGCATCAAACAACACACCCACTATGATCCACTGTCTGGGCTCAACCAGAAAGCCCACTCTCCTGCAACCATCAAAGCCTCCAGCCACCAGCACGCGCCGCTCGTCCAGCGCCGCGACCGCACAACCGGAACGGCCCACGCCCATGGTGGGCCCGGAGGAGAAGGTCATGCTGGCAGTATCGAGGATCCTGAGTGTCCAAGTCACAGTGACCTAGCCTGAGCCTGTCTTCCTCTGTCTTTGGACTTGCGACCATCTGAGCACCCAGCAAAGATCGCATGTACATGAAGCATGTACCCCCCCCCCACCCCACAAACACACACAGTCACACACACACAACATCTTCTGCATATGAACTTCATGAAAGGTCACCAAGGTCAGCCTTTCCACATTCTCCACCCACAAAGTTAAGAGCACATCAAATCTTAATCTTTGAAAGCACAAAAGCCAAAACGTTAACCCTGGTGATTCCGCGTGTGGAGACCGCTGCGAAGAAAGAACTCTGCAGCTCTGCAGAATGATGGGCGTACACTGTGCACACAATTCCATTTCCACAATGCAAACTGTTCCGCCAAAAGCCAAACCAGTGAAGGAAAACTTCAAGAACACCCTTCAGCTTGAAGAACCAATCCGTAGAATGTGAAGTTCTTGAAAAAGGCAGCTCGAATCCAGAAGTCCCAATGTTGTTTGGGGCAACCAACGCCCTCAATTCGAAACCACCTTCCCAAACCACTGCATATAGGCATGTCTATACACACATATATATATATATATATTATAGTTACATAGTTACCAACGTTCGATTGGTTTCAGGGCTCAATGTCTCAATGTAGTATATTGGTGTCTTGAAAAACTCTCTCTATATATTATATACAGCAAATATTATCTGGATGAACATAATTTGACAATTTATATATACCTATATCACAAAACATATCAAACACACTGTTAAATTTTTTAATTCAATGAAATGAATGTAGGTAAAATATTGCTAAATGAAATTAAGGCTGGGGATATATGTGCATACAAGAAAAAGGTTGGAGACATGAAATATCGACTGCAGGAGAAAACGCAGAGACACATCAGCCACCACACTTGTTTTGGCACACACAGGCTGAAGCTGTTCAACTACCCTCCAGGTGAAAGGGCACAGGGCATCCGACACACCACACGTCGGAGTGCCTGAAGCGGATGGGGATGTGTACAAAGTGCAAACAATGGAAAATGAAAATCATTCATATCTCACATTTGACCGCTGTGCCCAAACAGATCTCACAGGAGACATAGTTTCAACACAGCCTTCCACTATGGTAACTTTGTCTTTCTACGAGATAACTAACTCTGTGCAATTTATTGATGCACAGTGTGGCACGAGAAAAGAGTTGGTTCTATCTTTAAGTCACAACTCCTCGGCCTCGGCTAAATAAAATGCCCAAAAGAACATTGAAAACAAACTATGGACAATGTATTCGTATTGTTTTGTGACCGAAGAGCCATAAACCAAACACAGACAGCTAAGATTGGCCACATGCATCCTGTTTGATGCAATGCCCACAAGCCAAACAAAGAGCTGCTGTGATCTCAGGATCTAGAACTCATCAATCTACTTAGCACCCTTCTTGGGCTTGGGTTCCTGGGTCCGCTTGCCTTTGGCTTTGGGCTCAGGAGGTTGAATGAATGGTTCACTATCACTCTCCTTGTCGTTCTTGCGTTTCCTGCCCCTGGCTGCAGGCTCTGCTGATGCTGTTGCTTTTGCTTTTGCTTTTCCCTTGGCTTGCGGCGCTGATGCTTTGGCTTTGGGAGCCGCTTTGGCTTTGGAAGCTGCTTTCGCTGCAGCTTTCTTGTCCAACACTGATGTCATGACTTCAATGACTTCAGTTGAAAATCTGTTCTTGAAGTCCGCCAATGTCTTTGCACGCTTGGCGGGAGATGTGCCCAGAGAAAGGTCCTCTGCTCCCTGACATCAGCTGCTTTGGCGCTGGGCATGAACATCTTGGCTATGGCAGCCTGCTGATCCAACTGGTTGACCACACGACTTCGAACCTTGACTTGTTTTGGACGCAACCCAAAACATGCAGCCGGTAGAGGTTGATGTGACCATATCTGCTCTTGAAGTCTTTCAACATCAAAACGCGACTTAATTGGACCCCAAGTAACCTCCGTTGAATCCAGAGTCTGTGCTGCTGGCTCAATGCCTTCTGCTGTGGTTTTGGTGTTTGCATTGTTCTCTTCAGCCGGAAGGGCTTGAATCTGCTCTGGTTGGGCTGGCTTAGTCTCTGCTGCTGGTGCTTCAGCCGGAGCGCTTTCAAGCTGCTTTGGTTGCACCTCCTGCTCAGGTAGCTCTGTTGCTGGAGGTTCAGCTGGAGTGGCGCTAG